TAAGGGATCAGTCGGCAAAACTCGAGTGCTACCTCCCCCGTTCTGAACCCGATCCGGATCTTTCTAGAAAACCTCCCTGGAAACCCAGGGAAAAAGGATCCGGCTGTTGAAAGGAAGGATGGCTGGAAAGAATGGGGAAGCAACCCTTAAAACTTGGTCGACCGGCCTCCCTTTCTGGAGAGTCGCAAAAGGGCGAACCGAAGCGGCTCTGAATCACCTTAAAATGAAGCCCCGCCTGAATGATGTCCGGCAAGGGATCCCTGATTGTGTGGGAGTTGAAGTTTTTGTTTTTGTTGGCCCTTTCCGGGTTGGTCTAAAGGGACATCGAAAGGGAGCCGCCATTTTTGGGGACATGAAAAGGAGACCGCACTTTTTCGAGTCCAAGTCCACCGGTTTTGAAACACACACACACACACACACACGTCGCAGCTGTCATAGGTGGGCTCTGGAGCTTATGGCACCGTCGCCTCATTCTCGGACCCGGTCAGCGGGACGAAGCTGGCGGCGTGAACCCCAGCGGCTAGAAGGGCCGCTTCCGCCTTAGCGCCTTGTTTGGTGGTTTCAAAGGGAAACCAAAAGGAAAACCACCACATACGTCTTTTTGTTTGGGGGGGGGTCCTGGAGATTGTCGAAGTTTGGGTTCGGTCTCAAACTTGAAGGGGCAGCCGAAACTGGGACTTTTCAGGTTTTCAGGTGAGCGTAAGCCTTATCGCCTTATCCACCAAAGCCCAGGTACTTTTCAGCCGTTCAGTGGGTGATCTCACGGTACTCTTTTCAGGTTTTCAGGTCGTAAGCCTGGTTGCCTGCAAGCGCCACTGTCTTCTCAGCCGTTCAGTGGGTCTCACCAGGCCGACGATCACCACTTACCAAGCACTCGATCGTCGCTTTAAGTAGGAATTTGTGCCCATTGACTTTGGGGGTTCCCTTTATCTTACTGCTTCGATAGGCAGGGAATAAAATTTTGAGAGAAACATGGTTTGTAGGGACCATTTTTGTGTTGCCAAAGGAACACCTCTTTGAAGTGGTGAAATATCACGGATGTTGGGTGTTTTCCAGAACCATGGTCAGATCTACCACTTGCTACACTTTAGCACTTTCCGAGGGGAATCCAGTCAAAAAGAAACATTTGATACCAACACATTCCCTTTTTAGAGCCCCTTCTTGTGGTAGTTTCTTACTGGATACCACAATTCAATTGGGGAAATCCGGTGTCCCCTCGAAAACTCGAGGAACGGTCGACGCCCTAAATTGCAAGGAAACCAACCGTACTCAACCACACATCCATGGGAAAGTACAGTAGATTTTGCGGATTGCCCTGTTTCCTTGCCATATGGCCATGGTTCAAAACCAATGGGATCCAATTTGGTAGGTGAATTCACCACCCATTTTAGAACCTATTTTAGTGGTTGAATTGGCATGTTCACTGGGGTTACGATTTGGATGACCCATGGCTCAAAATTAAACAGGAAGGGTTACGCAGGTTTTGGTCCGTGTTTCCACTTACCAGGGTTCCATTTTGGTACCGTGTTTTTTTTGAGCCACAGCTTTTTTTCTTTTTTTTCCCCTTCCGGCGCCCCGAAGCCCTTGATTTGCCGAGAGGTCAAGAAGATCACAGACGCTTTCCACGACTTGGTGGATGGCAAGCGCATCCTCCGCGAGGCGCTCTCCTGTGGACTCCACTTTGGGCTTTTCCGAGACTGGGAGACATTACGCGGGGGGAACCACCCGCGTGAGAATTTTGTGGGTCTTTTGATTTTGGGGTTGAAAGGGAAGGGGCTGGTTGAGAAAAAATATGGGGTCAGCATCATTCTTATTTTGCTTCGCACCGGGGAGCGCCAGGTGAAGCTGCTGCGGAGCTTCCGGCACGACAATGCCCGCGGCCGAGTCAGTCGGTCGGACGTCGATTCGATTGACGCATCCCAGGGGTGCGGCTGACTCGGGGCTTTCTCCCGCTTGGGTGTGGCTCAAAATCAAAATCGGTCGCACACTCGAACAAGCCTGACGGAACTTCTGTTTGTTGGGGGGGATGTTGAGACAACCCCATTTCTTGTTTTCAGGGTCCCTTAAAAGACACCAGCTGGTGCCAGTTTAAGGATCTTCCGCATACCAGCTGATTTAGAGGATCCCCAGTACAGCAGGTGGTTTTGAGACGTCACCAAACACGCGGCAAAGCCGCCAATTCCTGTTTCCTGTAGATTCACTTGTCAGCGAATCGACCTGAAAGCCGAGCTTTTGGTTTTCCTAGTCTGTTCTTTCCAGGTCCGAGTGGGCGAATAAGTGGGTGTGGCTCAAAATTGGGATCGGGGTCCCCCTGTCAAGATCTGACGAAGGCTGGCCCCGGATGTGGAGCTGGCCCCGGACGTGGGGCCTCGAGTTATGTGGAGCTGGAAGCAACATTTTTTTTTCAGATGGTCTGTTGATGCTATATCAGATCTTTGGCCCAGTCAGAGTTCGCTATTTGCTCGAGAACGCAGGTAGCATGGAAGAGCATCTCCAAAACAAAATAAAGTAGACTAAAGCTTGCGCAACCCCGGCTGTTTGATTTTGAGCCACACCCAAGTCTTCTGGTCTCCCTGTGAAAGAGCCAACGAAGCAGGAAGACGGGGGGTTTCCTCACTCTTCCACCACAAATCACAATAGGAACAAAATCCGCCCAAAAAAGGAAGCCCCAGTTGAATCCAGGGCTGCGGGAAATGGAACCTTCTGTGATACCCAAGCCCAAAGAATAACCCCCCACAAAGTGGGCCAGATTCCCAAAAAAGTGTCACAGAAGTAGCTGTGGCTCAAAAATCAATTCCCAAAATGGCACCTTCGTACATACAGCCTGCGGTTTGCCCCAGCTGCTGTCATTTGCGAGTTGGTTTTGCTCGGATAGTGTAAGTTTACCTGGTGCTCAATTGGGCCCAAGTCCAAGACTTGAATGGCGCCGGGTCTAAAACTTTTTTGGGGGACCCGGGTCCCGAAAACTGGCGGGCTTCCTTTTGCTCGTCCTTTCTAAGACCGCCAAGACCGAGTACCTGAAAAAAACGAACAAACAGTTGGAACCATGTCGAGTGTGAAGAAAAGTGTCCTTCCTCTTCATTTGGCAGTCGCAGAATTTGACCCGCGCGCCCAGATCATCTGCATTCTGGACATGTACCCACCAGGACTCGATGCGGATTCGCAATGTCTGGCTCGAACCTTGCCCACACATTGGGAAAACTGTGTAGCTCACTTGCCCGAATCATTCCGACCGTTTTGGTTTTTTGGTTTTCTCATTTTCGGGTTCCCATTTGAGTCAGGGCCCCAAAAGGGACCACCTTTGATTTCTGGGTCCTTACTCAGGGCGAGTGAGGTAAGGCTTGCCGAGGGAACCAGGGCCACTGACGGACAGGGCAATGACTGTCGCGACGCCCCCCTGCTTCGAAGGCTCAGTGCATATCTGGATTGCTTGAGACCACTTTTGGGCCGTTTTCAAGATCAGTTTTGGGGGGCGGTTTCCCTTTGAACCATCATGTGGAGGGTAAGTTTTTGAGGATGTAACTTTAATGGACCCAGTATGTGTCCATACAATATGGCAACCCATCCCTTACGCGAACCCGGGTTGATGGCTCAATTAACCAAACCAATTTTGCTTGATGATGGGACGCTTTTCGGCCCCGAGCCGGCCAAAGGGTTGCCTTTCGTCGCCGGGCCCTGTTCTGCACTGCGCCCTTGCGCGCAGAACATCCAGACTTTGATGACATTTACATTGCCTCGCGGCTGAAATTCAGCTTCGCTTCAGTGAAATGCACATAAATTTGCCAAACGTATTTTTCGGAGCCGGTGCGAAAGGCCTGGTGCCGCCTTGTTTCATTGGCCACCAAGAAGGGCCTCCCGTTTTTTGCGGGGTTGAAGCCCTGCTTCTTGTAGTGGGCAAATGGAAACCCTCACCCCCAAAACACCAAACCACCAAACCACCAAACCACCAAACCACCAAACCACCAAACCACCAAACCACCAAACCACCAAACCACCAAACCACCAAACCACCAAACCACCAAACCACCAAACCACCAAACCACCAAACCACCAATCCAAACCACCCATCGAGGGGAACGCTGAGTTTACACGCGGAGGACTGTAGAGGGACACGGGGCGCCTGTCATCCCCAGCGTCTAATCAATGGTTTGGGGGAGAGTTTCAATCACCCCTCTTCCCAAGAAGCAACAAACATGACCCAGCTGCGCAGCCGGGGGGGGGCAACAGTGCCGCTGGCCTATGGGTTTTTGGGATACGTGTGATGGACGGTTCGGGCTATTTCTGTTGTGATGCCAAGGGAATCGAATCGCATTCAACCGTGCAGTTGTCTCCAACTCTCTCCCTTCCCGACGGGTAGGCATATAACAACTATTGTAGGGATCCTGTTTGGGCAGGCATGTCCGTGCAAATGTCCAGAAGCATGGCATCCAATTTGACTTCAAGCCGTGCTTTGTCTCAAGATTACAAGACGCATCAAACAGTTGGATTCCTATGGAGCCCTGACCCCAGAGTTTTGACCCCAAGTGGAGTCACAGAGGTCACAGACCTTATGGAGACGGACCTGCATCGTGTCATTTACTCCAAGCAGGCTGGTGTGGACATTTGCGCTTTTTGTCCTGCTGTACGCGAAACCTTGTGTGTTCCCAGCAACTGGATGCTTGTCCCATTTCTGCTGGCGCCGAAAACTCGTGTTTTGATGTGATCATCTCCAGACACTCCTTTTGCGACCGTGGATTGCGTTCAGGGTTGTGGAGCAATTGTGGTTTTAGGGGTCTTGTTTGTGGTGCCAAGGGAATCCCCTTTGAAGTATCCAACGTAGTCATTGGATGGCTCACTTTGGGAATCAGGGAACTGGCAATTTCAACCACAGCCATGGCGGTTGGGAGGTGTATGGTTGAGGTTCTGAAGGAGACGGCGCCGGGCTTTCGTGGCTGCTGGCGAGTTCCTCCGAATTTTCGATCCGCAGCCCCAGAGGTGTAGTAGTTCTGGGTGAAGCTAAGGGGGTCTTTTAACAAAAGCCGGGATCTTGGAGCCCTGTTTTTGGAGGGCTGTAAAGGCGGGAAAATGCACAGGAACCCGCCTAGAAGGGTCCCCGAGCTTGAGAAGCCCCATATACTGACCAGAGGCTGAAGCTGTTTTTTGTCGATATTTTTTCGGGAAGGCCAAGCAACCAAGCCTTGAAATGCTGCAGACCATCATAGCTTGTGTCTGGGACGTGGCTTTTGTGCATATAAGCATATATATATATATATATATGGTACCCCCCAAAAAAAAACACCTAGGTTTTGTGGGGGGGGGGAGGTCAGCACACTGGTAAATTCCGCATAGCAAATTGTAAAAACCCTGCAGCAATGCACGTTTTTTTCCATGTATGCAGTGAGCACACAACTCCAGAAACATGCAATTTACCTGCACCAAATGCATGTTTCTGTAGAAACTAGAGCAAACACCCTGGAAAAATGTTTTTTTTTTGGTAGTAAAAGTGAACAAATACAAACGAACAGAAACCAAGCAAAGTAAAACAATAAAACAGTAAACACGTAAAAAAGTAAAATATCTGAACCCATGAAAAGTAAAAACGTAAAAAAGTAAAAATAAATAAAACCAAGTACAAAGTAAAAGTAAAAAAGTAACATATCTGGACTCATGAAACGTAAAACAGTAAACCAGCCAAAAATACTCCTTTTTTAATGCGAAAAGGTAAAAATACTAGGTGTTTTTTTGTGAAACGTTTCTTTCTTTTTTTTTGCTTTAACATATCGGGCAACAGTTAAAAAGCTTTTTTGTTTTACAAAAAGTAAAAGTGAAAAAGGTTAGGGTTTTTACTGTTTCCCAATAAAGTAAAAAAGCCCTAGTCTTTTATACTTTTGACGGTTTTACTTTTTTGCTTTTAATGAGTCCAGATATTTTTTACTGGTTTACTTGTTTTTTTGCCATGGGTCCAGATATTTTGCTTTTTTACTTGTTTACTATTTTACTGTTTCACTTTGCTTGGTTTCTGTTCCTTTGTATTTGTTCACTTTTACTACCAAAAAAGAAAATCATTTTTCCAGGGTTTTTGCTCTAGTGTCTGCAGAAACGTGCATTTGGTGCAGGTACAATGCATGTTTCTGGAGTTGTGTGCTCACTGCATAAATGGACACACGTGCATGTTTGCAAGGTTTTTGCAACATGTTATGCAGAGTTTCCCAGCGTGCTGAGTTCCCCACATGAACATATCTCATCAGGTACAGCTGCAGACAAGAGTCTGTTGAAAAGACACACAAATGATTTCCTCTTCATTTATGTTGGAAATCATTGTGGATGAAGAGGAGAGACATATAAGATAGTAAAATAAAGAGACGATATGAATGGGTGAAAGAGATCCCATTCATCTGCCTCTTAATTGCTTTCTCTTTGCCTTCATCTTGGATTTATCTGTAAAATCCTTGATGAAGAGAATTAGAATGGATTTTTATTAATAAAAATCAATATTCTAATATTAGGTGACAAACCCACTCACCCGGCCCATTCCTTCGTGTGGCCGGTGATTGACAGGCTGGAGAGGAGAAAGGAAACAGCCTGGATTCATCATTTGGCTTGTCTTCCTTGTCTTTTCCCTTCATCTCCGGATCCAGATGGTTAGGAGAGGTACAGAAGGAAGGAACGGCATGTGACAAAGGGACATATGACCTCATCCAGCATTAGAAATTGGATGAGGAATAGAAAGGCTTGGAGCCAAATAATACATCTCTAGATTAATAGCATTTACAAATATTTTACTATCTTATATTTCTCTCCTCTTCATCCACAATGATTTCCTCTTCCTTCATCTTGGAAATCATTTGGTCTCTCCCTTTCTCACCTCTTAATCATGATGTGAAAAAGAGATAGAGACATAGAATGGTTTTATGATGAGACTTCTTTATTCCTCGCCGTCTCATCTTAAGATCTCTTAATTATTAACTGCTTGTCTATTTAATCTTCTTGTTTGTATATTTCTATCTCTTTATCAGGTTATTTGTATACATTGGTATTTTATATTTGTGTCTCTAGGAACTACCGAAAGGACTACAATGGTGGACATCTTTTCACCCACCATTTCATTCCCGTGTCATCTCACTGTCTCCTCACTCACTTTCCTGTTCCTTCGTCACCCATCATCATCTCCCTTTGTTTTCTATTATTATTTACCTTTCGTATCTTATAGAATCTCAGAATACAAATGAAAGGGACATAATACAACATGAAAATAGCAGTGTCCAAGAGATAGAAAAGACACAGCGGCTATTAATAAAGACATCTTAAGATTATTTGGGTTACATTTGGATGAGTCTTAGAGAGACACCAAATGTAATGACCAGATGGTGACAAAGAAATCTCACCATCATTCATCTCTTTCCATTTCTTTTCCTCTCATGGTCTTTCACCTACAGCATAGAATGGTGGTTGGGTGAAAGGACATGTCACTCACCACCGCTTCATTCCTCATCTCTTCGTCATCTATCAGGGCACTGTCTGTCTTCACTTCTGTTCAGCCTCATCTGTTTAATCAACTAAAATGACACTTCCTCAATCCACTCTGGCACAAATCCATTTGAAGAGTGATGAAACCAGATGGCAGAAAACAAAGACCTGTGGTGCCTCCATGTTGTAAGTCATCTATCAGGGCACTGTTTGTCTTCACTTCTGTTCAGCCGGGGCTGTTCAATCAACTAAAATGACACTTCCTCAATCGACTCTGGCACAAATCCATTTGAAGAGTGACGAAACCAACCTGGCCCGCTATCAGAATGAACCTTGTGTGGCAACCCTTGCTGGCACAAATCCACTTGAAAAGTGATGAAACCTAGGTTTTTTTTTGGGGGGGGGATAGCACATATATATATATATATATATACACACATTTTGGGGAACGCCGCGGTGGGTATTTGAGGTCAAATGTCCCACATGTGCCAAGTCCGGTTGAACAATCCCCACCACACTCCCAGGGCAAACATGGATTCACAACCCTTCCAAAGCCATGATGTACGGGCTAGAAGAGCCCCACGAGGAAACTCAAAAGGTGATGCTTCAAGCAACCAAAAGAGGAATGGGTGTCTTTTGTTAGGGGACCCTGAAAATGGCACTTTTCCCTTTGGCTTCCCCCTTAAAAACACGGGAAATGTTGACCCCACATCAATCAACCAACCAGTTTGTGAACAGGGGGGCGATTTTTGGCCCGGGTGCCCCCCCCCCTCCAAAACCAACCACACTTCACCCAGGGACAAACCGCACATCGAAATAAAACTGGGTGGTTGGAGAAAAGTATGGGGGCAACGGGTACCCCCTCAAAAGAAAGCGACCAGCGCCGGTAGAAATCAACTCTCTCGTGTCTCTCCGCTCTCCTCGTCAGGTCTTGAACGATGAGCATCACCAGTGACCCCCCGAGACTTTTTTTGCGAGCTCCGAGGCATTTTTTTTTGTCTTTGGGGTTAGGCCCTTTTTGTTGTATCACAGAAGGGGTCGTTTCTCACAGGCCTGCTGCTTATCTTAAAGAGTCCCGGCCCCAGGATTTTCCTCCCACATTGGGGCGTCAACAAGGATGCTCATTCCAGAGTTTAACGGACCCTCGGGGCATGGGTAAATATGGGTGTGTGTTGTGGTTTTAGATGGAAACCAACAGGACGCCCACCATTCTTTTTGGGATTTCTGAGACCCCTCCAAAATGATTGATCGGTTTTCTTTGGGCTATTTGCGCCATCTATCAACCGGTCCAACAGCCCATGGCAAGCGCGGAGATCTGGACCTTGGCAAACCAGTTTTGATTGTGACTGAAATTGGGTATGATACTGCGGATGGACGAAATCCATTTCGCCCCGCTCTGAAACCATGGGAACCATTGTTTGTCGGAATTGATAGGGGAATCATCGTTCCAGCGGTTCTTAGGTGGTGCAGAATCGCCCATCGACAGTATTTCATTGGGAACCACCTCACAGGTGGTGGGTGGACAGACATCCCCATCTAAATAGCTTCCGGTATAGGCGTCAGAGCCCATTTAGATGGGGATTTGTGCTCGGATCCGAACGAGGTCCCACCAACCACACCACCGGCAAAAAAGCACCAGACCTGGGATCGGAGTGTTTGGGTAGCAGAGACGGTTGATTTTCTTTTTTCCAGGGCACCCTTTTGCGGTTTGAGAAACCAAAAGGAACATCCCCATTTGGGGGTCCATGAACAAGATACCCAATTGTTGGAACCGCCAACGTTTCGGCAACGCTGATCTAGTAGCCGATGATTTGCAACACATGTGCCATCAAAAGAGGCATGGTCATGAACTCGGGATTTTGGGTTTCTATCATGCAACCAGGAACTGTGACCGTTGCAAGGATTCTTGTTTAGAGAGCCCCCATCCAGATTTGGCAGTTTCGCCCATTAGACATTTCTTTATGGCAAGAGAGCGCTGAACGCACCCAATGTGGTCCATTAAACATGCAAGAAGGTTTTGCACGGAATCCACAGATTCCCAGGGTGTGGGGCAAGACACCACCTCACTTTTTTGGTTCAGGTACTTCTCCTACCAGATCCTGCGAGGGCTGCTGTACCTGCACAGCCGGCGCCGCAGTTTTTTTGTGTTTCTTTTTTGCGAGAAGCGACCATGGGACTTTTGGTGACGGGCGTTTTACCGTTGAGCCTCAAGCAGCTGATGGCACATATTGACGGGTGCTTTCTCAGTTGCCCAGGTTCCCCTAAGTCAACCAGGTGCCGATCCTTTATTTCCATGCAAACTCATTGGGATTCGCTTTTGACTGAAAAAGTTGTGGGGGCTGGGAGTGCCCCCGGAACTTTCTTGAAATGGCCATGAGTTTGAATAGCAAGCTACCTCGCAAGTGGTTGGCGGACGTGAATTCCCCGCCGAAATTATGTCCACCAAAGGGCCCCCGGTGAAAATTTTCACACCCAGAGTCTGGCGAGTGCTCTCCTGGCACCAGGGGATCGCTTCAAGAGGCTTCCAGGTACCCTCGCACCGCTAACGTCTGAGGGGTACATCTCATCGCGCCACATCAGAACCCTGGCAAGTGAAGGTTCGTAGGGAACCCTCCCGGCCAGACATAGGATTGGCCCTTTGATTCTGCGCATGGTTTAGGGTAGGCCCCTTTAGTACCCGGGGTCACTTGCAAAAACAGCCAGGAATCTCATATTGGCAGATGGGGGATCCCGCCCTGTTTCCCGTGCGAGCCCCGGATGAATTTTAGGCGCCAACGTGGTGCATCGCGACCTCAAGCCCGCCAACATCCTGGCGCGCCATGTGGTTTCTCGGGTTTACTTTCGGTTTGTTTTTTAACACCAAGCGTTCAAAGTGGGTCTGCCATTTAAGGAGAAACCCGCAAGTGCTTCTACCTGGTTTCATGCGATGCTTTTGTGGCCATGTGCGCATATATGCATATAAAGATACAGTTTATCGGACCTTGGTACGGCTGTAGAATTGGGTTACGAAACGCCCTGGTTGTCTTTTTCTGTTTTTGTTTTCACGGGCCTTGCCTTGAACAACCAAGAGCTGGACCCCCGAAACGAGCGAGGTGTCCTATTTTGGTTCTTGCTTCATCCGAAGGAGGGGACCATCTTTCCGAAAGAGAGCGCCCAAATTTTGCAGGGCTCCTTAAAAGATACATTCTGCCCATTTGAAACATGGCTTTTTCCACAAAAATCAAAGGAAACCGCCATTTACAAGGCAATGTTCAGGTGTATAATGTAAGGATCCCTGTTTTGGATGCTGGGCAAACTGTGCTCAGAGACCAAAGGAGGCGGAAACACCAGCGCTATATGCACGGAACGAGGGGCTGGCCCTGACCGGCCGGACCGCTGATTTTTCGACGCATGTTTTGAGGTTAACCCAGGCATTGGCATTGTTGAAGGTGCCCGCGTTTTAAGCCTGGCGGGTTTTGCTGAAACCCGGCAGGGGCGTGCACCACTTTTCAGGCGTTCCCTATTGACGTTCATTGCCATTTGGAGACGAACCCACGAAGCAGGATCTTCGGTTTGATGTCCACCACTTGCGGCTGGTGACCCTCGCTGTTGTTTTCACGTTTTTCATGTTTTTGGTTCTGCTTCATGATCAGCAGTGGGATCCAAAAAGGGTCAGGTTTTTTTTGGTTCAAGTTCACACCAGGAACCAGGTGACACCTTCCCCCTCCTCCCTACCCCTGCCCCCGCAAGGTGACTCCCCCCCCCCCCCCCAAGGTAACACCTTCCCCCCCCCCCTCCCCTCCCCCCCTCCCCCCCTCTCCCCCTCTCCCCCTCTCCCCCTCTTCCCCTCTCCCCCTCTCCCCCTCCCCCCCCCCCGTGGCTGAAGTTTGGAGCCAGGTGAACAAAAACTGCGACCTGAAGATTTGCGACTTCGGCCTGGCAAGAGGCCTCGGGGACGACGAGGAGCGGGGGGTTGGGGGGTTTTCTTCGGTTTTGGGCTTCGGTTCGGTCGTGGGCTCTCGGGATTTTGGGTAGAGCCCGAAAAGAGATCCCACTTAAAGCACTTAGGTCGCCGAGCGCCTTTTGAAGAGCTTCAAAACAAGACCCACTTTCAAGTTCTGGGGGCGAGGGAGGGGAGGGAGACCCAAATAGGGATTCAAACATCAGCCTTCGTGGCAATTTGAAGTGAGCCGCGTCCTCAAAACCGATTCGGGTAGATGAAAATGCTGGTAAGGGACCATTTTTGGTTCTTTACATAGTTCTGTTTGGATTATTTTTGTCTCGAAATACTGGAACCCCGAAAACCATTTGGGGTCTCTTTTGAACTCCTAATCAACGACTAACCAACCCCAAAAAGGTACCCTCACAAAATTCGACGCCCAAAAATTAAATTTGAGAGCCGCGGTGCAGGATGACCCCACCCTCACCGACTACGTGGTCACGAGGTGGTATAGAGCACCGGAGGCAATGCTCTCCGAGTCAGGGACCTCCATTTTTCTCGCTGGTTCTCAGTTTTTTTCCAGAAATGACAGTGTTTCTCAAGAAAAGGAATCGGTTCCCTAAGATGGCAACGGTCCACCATTTTGAGAAAGTGCCAAATGACCCCCTCAAAAACTCATCCCTGGTGGCTTCCTTTTAGGGATTCAAGTTTTGGGTTGATTCCGCATTCTCTCTGCCATTGCTCTCCTCAGAAACCACTTTTTTTGGGCAATTTGTCAGAAGAGAAGGGGAGGGTGAGGCTAGACCCAAAGAAACAGGTTGGGTGACAAAAATAGCGGGTCCACAATTGAACGGCGACCCTGCTTCTCCAGCCAAAGTCGGCCTTTTCAGCTGTTGGAATTCTGAATTCACTGAAAGAAAGGCTGCCAGTCACGATATGTCACGATATGGTTTGCCCCTGGCACCCCTGTTGTTTCCTCACTTGTCTCCCCACTTGTCCTCAGCTTGTCTCTCTACTTCTCTTCCCACTTGTCTCCCAACTCGGCTCCCTGCTTGTAGTTGCTGTCTTGGACCTTGTTGCGGCTTGTCTTGTCACCTTATCAAGCGGGACAGAAAGCCCGTTTGGCTTCCTTCAAACATCGACCCAAAACGCGCGTTCCTGGTTCCACATATCTCATGCTCTCTTGACTCACCTCCAGTGCCTGACTTCGGTCTTCGGGCTTCGGGGTCGTGGCAATTGAACAAATCCCCGACTTCAGGAGATGCGTCTCTCCTCGAAAAGCGGCGGACACATGGCTGGCTTTTTGGTTTTGACACCAAACACTTTGGGTAGCCTCAAACAACTTTTCGATCGCGGACAGCGGCGAAGGTGTCTTCCGAACACGCGCCCTTTCGTCCAGCTCCAGCTATGTCCTTAATGTTTGCCCCGGATGAATAAACCCCTGGTTGATTAATAGGGGGGTGTCCTCTTTTAGTAGGGATGCATCACTTTTGGGGGGAAAGCTCCCCCTAATAATGGGACGGGTCTATTAATCCGGGGTCAACATTACGCGTTTATAGATCGGCAGATGTTAGGAGGATTGGCATCTCTGACGAGTTGCTTCCCCCCCCCCCCCCCCCCACTGGTGCCGGCCTTTGATAGCCACTCGGCACCACGCCCCGAACATTTGTCAAGACAGGACATGGCGGGACTGAAGTCGGAAGCAATCTGAAGAACCTGATACTCAGCACCGATCCCCTAAATCTAAGTGTTTACCCCACCAAAAGGAAGCTTGCGTCCAATAAAAGACCCAACAGGTGATGTTTTTCTACACCATTCAAGGGGAAACACGGGTGCTTCTTGAAACATGGGATCCTTTTTTTGTTGCTTGTTTGATCCTATTTGAACACCCAAGTCTCAGGCAATTCTTAGTTGTTGGTTGGGATTGGTGGTTTGGATTTGGATTTGAGCCATGTCCTGGTTCTTGTAGAGGGTGAATGGGGTCGACCCCTCCTTTTCACCACCAAACCACCAAATTCGGCTCCAAGCCACCAAGAGGGTAACCACAAAACACATCCGACCCATTGAGCACCCAAGAGTCCGAAAGTGAGGGAAACCAAACCATGGCTTGCCTTTTCCACTGTTTGTCTAGGTCCCCCAGTAGTGCCCTTTTACTTTTTTTTTGGGAGGGTTTCCCTACTAAAATAGACTATCAAAAAGGGTACCCTTATTCTAACCTCTCTACTGGAAAACCTAGTTGTGGTTGATAGAAACGTTGCAGCCCCCCTGCAGAAACCGCTTTTCAAACGAGGCGCCTCCTTTCAGTGGCAAAGGCAAACCATCCGATCAAAACAAAACATGGTCCAAACCGAAACGTCAGGTTCCATGCTAACTCCGTTACCCAGTGGCTTGCTCCCTTTTTCCTCCCCCCCACTTTTTTGGGGTAAGCTTGCCCCTTTACACTCACCCCCAACCAAAACCAACGGCTTCGTCTTTCTTTTTGCTTTTTGCTCTGCTTGCCCCACTCGAGTCTTCGAGCCGGAGCCACGTAGTTCCTGCCGCCCCATGTGACGCAAAACGATCCACGAGGGGAGGCGGAAGTTGGATGTCGTTAGGTGGTGCTCCTTGCCTCGGAGTACACCAAGTCCATAGATGTGTGGTCCGTGGGGCCGGGGGCGCCAAGCAAGAACGCCCAGAAAGGAAGAGAGACGTGCGCCGTGGAGCGGCGTCCTTTTTTTTCTTCTTTTTCTTTTTTGGAATTTTTGGTTGTTCGGCCGGAAGGATGTTTTTTGAGGACATATGTTTTTGGCTAATCAGGCGGACAGTTTTATTTTGAGCCAAGGGCCTGGCGTTTGTTGGTTTGGACTGTTTTTTCTCCGAGCCAAGGGCGTGGCAGTATTTTTTCGTTGTTTTTTTCATCCCCCAGGCAAGGCTTTTTTTTGATTTTGGTTGGAGGTTTTGGCTTTGATTCTTTGATTTTTTTGGTTTTGGTTTTTGGTTTGTATTTTTTTTTTCATTTTTTTTTCCGGTTTTGGTTTTTGGTTTTGAGCTTTTTTTGGTTTTTGGTGTTGGCTTTGGTTTTGGAGTTTTTTTTTTGGTTTTTGGTTTTTGTTGTTGGTTTTGGTTTTGTTGGAGCCCCAGCCAGGCGGAAAGGGATAAGAAAAAAAGAGGACTGTCGTCTGGCGGTGGTCAAACGGAAAGGGTTTCTTCTGTGGAAAGGGTTTCTTCTGGTCCCAGAATGGGATGGTCTTCTGTTGTTTGGGTGGAAAGGGGTTTTTCAAGCGGACGACCAGAATGCGGGGTTCGCTTGAGAGTAAATCACCACTTAAAGGGGCAGGATACTTAGTAAGTGGTTAGTAATCCTGGTTCTATCTCCCAAAAGCCATGGTTTAAAAAGTCTCCGTTCAGTGGGTTATAACCTCACGTACCCGGATCTATCCGGGTTCCCGATACTTAAGGAGGGAACCTGGATTGGATCCTGCCAAGAGCAGAGGTGTCCTTTTGATCGGTGAGCCTGGTTGAAAATAGATGGGTTCCACTGGTTTAGATGGGTTTTGTTCCATTTACCAGGGACACCCATCTATTTTTTTCCAAAAGGCCACCTGCCAAGAGTGCTCTAAGAGTTTTTTTTCTTCTTTTGTCTCCCCAGCTGAAGGCGTGTGGGGGTTTCTACCCAGAGAGGGCTCCGGAGCATCCGGAAATTCCGGCCAGGGCGCATGTTTTTGTGCCTGGACTTTTGTGTTGGTTCAGCATTTTTGGTTTTGGTGCAGGAATGCCGCAACCGGTCGTAGCCCCCGGCCAGGGCTGAGTTTTGTGAATGGACTTTTGTGCCTAGTTCAGCTTTTTTTGGTTTCGGTGCAGTATTAGCCGCAACCACCGGTCGTAGCCCCGCTACGAAGCTCCGGCTGTTTTTTTTGCATTTCCAGTCGTTTGTGGCCCATTTGGGACGAGAACATGGAGCTCTCGAAAATTGCTCGCGAGATTCGGGGGACTCTCTAATATCACCAATGTCCATAGAGGGTATAGCAAATTCAAATCATCTTGGAAGCCATCCGGGTTAGACTCCAAGCAATTACCCGCCCGAACTAGTATCCTCAAAGACACCCCAGGAAAAAAAGCAGCAAACCCCGAGAGACCACAGAACACCCAGAAAGGTATCCTCAGAACCCAAGAAACGCCCACCCCCAAAGACGGAAAATTGGTGCATCCTCCAGAACTTCTTCGCGAGGTGCATCCTTTGCGAGCTGATCGGCCGCAAGCCAATCTTCACGGGCAAGGAAGGGCCTGAGTGAGAGCGCTCACGCGCATTTGCAGGTCGATGGCGGCTGTGCTTGTAGGATACCCCTTCTTAGGGCTGTACACCAACCCACAGGAGAGGATTTGGGCAATGACACGCCGCCGACCTTTCGAACTCTGAGCTTCCGTTTGGTTGCTCCAAACGAGCAAAGGCTTGGTTCTCCAAATTCGGTTGTTTGCTACAATGGGCGGCTTTTTGAGCCCTGAGGACCACTTGGATCAGATCAAGAAGATCCTGGCAGTAGTCGGCACTCCTACAGAGGAGCGCGGTTCGAGCTGGGAGATGTGTCTAGACGTGTTGTTTGGCCCAAGCTACGGCTCGAGGTTCCGACGAAAGCGATGGACTGGCAGCGGTTTTGAAACCGGTCTCCTATCGGCAGTTCCCCATCGGTTTGTCACCGGAAAGTCAGAATGTGCTTCAGTGAACTCAGGAGGGATCAACCTCTTAGGGGTTCTGGACACGTGTAAATCATGGTTGTTGTTGGGAAACATTTGAAACATTTTTGCGTATTGTGGTTTAGTGGTTGAAATCCAACCACAAAAATATGCTAAACTTTTCAAATGTTTGCTCCCCAAACCCAAGGTCAACCAAGATAAATGTTGCTCATGGCATGGAGCATGGCCATAGGCACAAGGAGTCGGGAACTGGCAGTCTGGGGAAGATGTGGCAGGGCTCCTTAAAAGATCTCCATTTTGCAACCATTTGAAACATGTTGCTTTTTCAACACCAAAATAAAGGGAAACCACCATTTGCAAGTTGCAATGTTCAGGTGTAGGGATCCCTGTGTGGGACCGAACTGAAGCTTTCTACAAAAACCGGGGGCATTCCACGCCCGGTTTTTGTTTTTTCATGATTTGTCACATGCCGTGGTTTCTCTCAAAATCGCGTTCCCCTAAATGGTTGGTTTCATCTCGGTTTTCCTTTAATGATCGAATCCTTAAGGGGGGTCGGTACAAGGGGTGGGTAGTTGGGGAGCCCTAGGGTTCTTTAGGGTTCCTAGGGTTTTTTGGGGAGCCATAGGGAACCCCCCTTGGACAACACCCCCCCTTTTAGGGATTCCGTAATTTAACTACCAACGATGAAGGCCCACCATTTTGAACCCCACCCCCTCCCCGCCCTCCCCCTCTAAAATGGTTGTTTTATCTCGGTTTCCCTTTGGCTACCACCCAAAAAGCTCCATTCCGAGAACCCCCCGCACCCCACCACGTACGGCGTTCGGCGCCTCACATGCCCGAGCTGCGGCACCGCAGGAAGACCTGTCCTGGCTCCCGCCCCGGAGCCCTGCCCGCAACTTCATCAAGAAGGCGCCGGTCGCAACGGTCAAAAGGCTTTTCAAGGTGGTTGTTCTTTTTCCCCTCACTGAGAGCTGTGGGTCCAGGCAACCAACTACTTAAAGGGGCGATCGATTCGGTACGTCGGGTAAGTGGTGATTGTAAGCCTGGTGAGTTGTGACCCACTAACCCTCGTTATTTCAGCAGGCTTACGATCACCACTTACTCGACGTACCGAATCGATCGCCCCTTTAAGTAGTTGGTTTGGTGGCTGCGAGCTTGGAACTGCAAACTACAAATCCAAACCACAAATTGGAGGGAAGCTGATTGGGATCTCCCTGCCTGGTTTGGAGCGGCTCTGGGCTCACAGGGTGCTGTTGCGGATTCCAGCTGGGTGCATGTTGGATCTCATCACGGGTTGTTTTCCAGTTTCGCTTCGGAAGTAGATGGAGCTGAAAGAGACATCAGCTTGAAGCTCTGGTCATTTCTCAGTGAAGATCCATCTTTACTTTCCCCAAAGCGCCCGCAAAATGTCTCGGGTTTGCTCGGGTTTCCTAGGCCCCGGATTTTAACGAGTGCTTCCAGAAATGTATCGAAGACTTCGCCCGTCCCAACTCGGCAGGTGCCGGTCTGCTCCAAGCAGAGCTGGAAGTCCATCTACCCAAAGGCGGCTCTCGCCGGCCAAAGCGAGCGCGAGCGGTGCGGCCAAAGCGGGCGGGTATCCGAAGTTGTGTTTGTGAGGGGGTTTTTCCGGAGCTACGAGGAGTGCTGCTAAGGAGATGCTGGTGGCTGTTGTTTTTTTTTTGGCTTTTCTCCCTTTAATCAAACATTTAGCCAAGCTGGAAATCAGAAGAAGCGGGCACGAGAGGGACATGTGCCTCACGAAACTTGACGTGTCCTCTTGGCGAACGATTAAGTTTGACCGTGTCTCAAATGGGTGTGCCTTCTTCAAGGACCCCCCCAAAAAAAAGAAGAAGGAGAGAGAATAAAGACGAGAGTTGTTTTTTTGTTTCCCTTTAACCACACAAAAAGGGTGCCAACTCCAAAAAGAGACACACTCTAAATCTTTATGGCCATAGATCCAACATGGGTTTGGGTCGTGGCAAATTGCCTCGGGCCCGGTTTGCAGGCAACGGACGCCGGTGTGGAAGCAATCGAAAAAATGCGGGGGCGCCGAGCGAGGGCGCGTGCCAGCGGGCTGAGAGCGCTGAAAACAACCAGCGCCGTTGCTGGACTTTGGGCTCCCTGGATTTTTTCCTCGTGGAGGGGTCAGGGTACTTAGTACTCAGGGAGGCTCAGGGTACTTAGTACTTAGTACTTTTTTGGCTCAGGGAGGCTTACTGAAAGTGGCAGGGTACTTGGTACTTGGTTAGTAAGCCTGGTTAAAGTTAATAAAGCCCACTGAATGGAGACCTACAATTATGGCTTTGGTTGGTTGCCAGGCTTACGCTTCAACCTGACGTACCCTGCCACTTCCAGGGGACGACAGGCGCGCGTCGACTGAGGTTGACCTTCAACCCGACCAAGAGGTTAAGCATCGCTCACTGCTTGGTCCTCCGGTCGGAGTCTCGGAATCCAAAGAGAAACCGTGTCGAAGTCCCGGCCTCGTGCTGGTTGCCTGCGCTCCCGAGTGGGGGGAGCTTCGGGAGGGACAGTTCCAGAGAAGGTGACTGGCTCGTGCTTGGAAGGGAGGTCGTGGGAGCGGGAGGATCCAAGTTTGCTTTTAGCTGGCCTTTCGGAGCGCTTTTACAGAGCTGGCCTGTCAGAGCTACCAGGAGTGCTGGAAGCACATGGTAGGTTGACCAGTTGGATTCCCTTTTCGTCAAGTTGAAAAGGGTACGCCTTAAAAGCCACACCAAGTCTCATGTCCTGACACGCAACAACATAACTGACAGTTTGCCTTTTTTCTCCGTGGCGCATGTGGGTCCCTGGTTTCGGGTCTCCGTGCCTTGCCTGGCCCAGTTTTTTGGGGTTTGGACGCGGAACCAAGATGCGTGGCTTTCCCGTTGCTTTCCGTGTAAAACCACCAACTACCCACAAAAAAGAGACGCACTTATGTGGGTATGGGTCAAAATTAAACCACCAGGAATCGGACCACAGGTTTTGGTCCATGTTTCCACTTGCCAGGGCAAGCCATTTGGGGTACCTATTTTTGACAACCACAGCCATGGCTGCACATGGGAACGCTAGAGTGCATGCCAGAGACAAACTTTTAGTCAGAAGGCCTTCGACCAGAGTCCTTGTCTACCCCAGACACCCAGTGGTGCCCCGAAAGTGTTTCAACGTTTGGCGGGGTTTCCCTTTAAATTCGGACAACCAAAGTAATGCCCGTCTTTCTGTGGACATCCACCGGGGGCCCTAAGAAGGGGCCCCGAACAAACCTGTTAAAGGTTGGTGCCTTTGGTTTCCCAACTGCTGTGAACACTGGAAGCTGGGAAGTTTCAGGGTTCCCGACTTGTAAACCATCCCCATCTGGTTGCCTGTTCTTTGAGCTCAAGCTTTTGGCGTGATGTTTTCAGGGTAGATCGAGAGAGAGAAATTCGCCCCCAGCCCGCGAGAGGTTTAAGCTTTCTAAGACCAAGGTGTTTTGGCCATCACCGAACCAGCTTCGGTCGAAGGTTTAGGGGGTTGTTGAAATGGAAGACCTAGCTCCAGGTACCCGAGTTTCAAAACCCGGGTGAGAGAAGGTTGTTAGGAGACGGTCGCAACCAGAGATCTAACTAGGTGCGGCCACCCCGCTGATGGTTTTTTTTGGCCGGTGGACCAGTTTAAAAGCAGGCGTGTTTTTGCGGCTGCACTGGGCTTTTCACGTGCAAAGGTATTATGAGACCCTGCACATGCCGGACGATGAGCCCGTCGCCGAAGTGCCAGTAGATTGGTCTTTCGACAAGCTGGGGCCTAAGATTTTTTCTGAAAGCACGGGGCTTGCCGGGCAGTCCAGTTTTGGACCATGCATAGAGCCATGAATAGCGGCCTCAGAAGTGGCTTGCAGATGAACCCCCAGCTAAACGATGGCAAAGGAACGCCAACAATAATGTCCACCAAAGGAACTCCACTCAAATCATGTTCACCAAACAGGGCTCCTTAAAAGATACATTTTGCCCATTTGAAACATGGCTTTTTCAACACCAAAATAAAGGGACACCTCCATTTACAAGTTGCAATGTTCAGGTATATAATGCATCCGGATCCCTGCCAAACGATCTTTTAGTGGGAGCTTTCCCGGTTTCCTCTTGAGGGTACGAACCAAGAAGTAAAAAAGAAAGTGCCATCCTTGGGAGGCGCATCCGGGGCTTGAGGGCGGTGGAGAGCCCGGGGATGGTTGCGAAGTCCGAACGACATGAAACCGTAATTCAAATGGGTGTGGGTCCAAATTAACCACCCGGAATCGGACCACAGGTTTGAGTCCTTGGGTTTCATTTACCAGGGTTCCATTTTGGGTACCCATTTTTGACCCACTGCCAAATTTGAAATAAGGCTGGGGTCATTATTTTGACTGTTTCTAGGGGGTATCAAAGTCAGAAAATGGGGTTGTTTCCCTTGAGCCCATCACTGAACGGGGGTGACTTTGATCATGGTGAAACGATGAGGCCAATAAGGTTTGTTGGGATTGAGGTAGGCATCGTTCCGTTGGGTTTCTGAACGGTGCGAAGTCTTCCAGAGGAATCAAGTCATTCCGTTGGGTTTCTGAACGGCGCGAAGTGGATTTCCCGCCCATGTTTGCAAACCGAAGACCCAGTGCCCAAAACCGATTCGCACCTTTGCCAGTTTGGATGGTCCTAGTACCTGGTTCACAAAGGTCATAGGAAGGGCTATATAGCCATAGACCCTCACAACCATGTTGCTACAACCAAACGTCGCAAATGGGTTTTTACCAGTGCTCGCCTGGGTCCTCCTTTCTGTTTCACCCCTTGAGAACCGGCCGAGGTTCACGCCAACCAAGAGACTACTGCAGAATTACATCTACGCGGAGTGCCGCACCGAGAGCCCTCTCTCGTTCTCGCCCGTGAGCGCTCTTGCTCCAAGCTTGGGTTTGGTTTCCTTTTACAGCAGGCCACGGGTGCCCTGGCATCAAAGAAGATGCACCCATACGCGCCTTTCCTGGCCTCCCTTTCCTCTTCAATTGCGTTTTGTTTGTTTGGTTCGCGTGTCCTCACATCGGAACTCAGCCCACCTTTTTGGGTACCCGAAAAAGCAGAACCCCAGCTTAGGTGACCGCAGGGTACCTTTGCACGGGGGTTCCTGCACGACTTCGGAGTGCAGAAGGCCGAAGCTCCCAAAGAATTCTAGGCCCCCCTGCGATTGGTGCCCTTTCTCACCAACTTTTTGGGGGGAGGGCTCCCCTGCTAAAATTGACTACAAGAAAAAAGTTGGTACCCTCATTCTAACCTCTTTAGTGGAGGACCTAGTATTTCTTTCTTGCCAAGAAGGGGACCCGCGCCTGATTCGTAGGGTCCGGATAGCTTCATAGTTCACATGGCCGTGGGTCATAACCTATGCCTCCATTTTGGGGCGGAGGAACACCCACGTGCCACCTATTTTGTTCACCAGGGGTGTTGACCCAGAGCCACATGAGCCACGTGTCAAGCCAGGAGCTGTTCAGTCTCGCGCTTCCGCCTGGCCGCGGGAGGTCGTTTTTTTCGGCGGCCGAGGGATGCACAGTCGGGGGAGATCTGTGGCCCAAGGGGCTGAGTTCAAAGCTTACCAGCACCGAGTGTTTCTTGGATGGGGACCCTTTGTATGTGGGTTACCGCCGTGTTTTAGGGGAGTGTTTCAGGGCAACCCCCTCATCGGTTTTCATTGGGTCCCCGAAAAAAAAAAAACCGGGGGGAAAAAAAAGCGCCAAGACAGGGGTGCCAACTCGGAACCAGGACGCCACAGAAGCTGAAAGGACCCCCTGGCCTAGAGGCGGCCGGCTAGGCCGCTCAAGCGGCTCCCAGGTGCTGGAAGTTCCACCCGGACCTCGCCCAGCGCGACGCGAAGGCACCCGTGGATTGGCCCGTGTCTGAAAATCTGGCTGCAACCAAAAAGCCGGAAGTCCAAAATGGGTTGCCCTGGTAAGTGGAACCAAAGACCAAGACCTGCGTAGCCCGAATTCTTTAATTTTGAGCCACAGCCATCTGAGGCTACCCTTCAAAAGCGTTAGGGAAACGAAAGAGCTTTGGATTTATTTCTGCAGCCCCTGTGACTTTCAGGCCGGCGCTGAAACCAGTTCGATGCCTGTTTTTTTCTCGCCGCTTTGCCAGTTTGGTAGGAGTTCGGTTATGGTGGCGGGTGTGAGTTTTGACAGGGAAGCTTCGGTGGGCATCATTTTTGGGATTCATTTCTAACCACTTTCGAGGCAGCTGCCTATTGGAACTCTTTAGCAAAGCTTCTGCTGCGGTCAGTGGTGACGTTGACATACGTTGGACTGTGAGCTGGCCTAGCCCTTTGAGTGGGAAAGTGGAGTGCGGAATGTGGAGTGTGGGGAGTGGAGTATGGGGTGTGGGGTGTGGAGTGTGGAGCAAAAAAAACACACGATCAAAAAGCACCTAACAACCTGAAGCAGTGCACGTAGCTTTTCGGCACAGCGCGTGAGCGCGCCCACGCTGAACAACTGCCCCGGCAGTTGTTGGAGTCCCGCGACATCCCGCGGCTGCTGAAGTAGCCCAGGACGGAGCCGGACGGACCGGGGGTGGTGCCAAGTTTTTTCTGGGTGGTTTACGAGGGAAGTCAAAGGGCAATCCACACTTTTGGGGGTCGCCTTGTTCAGACACATCCATGAGACATGGATGTGGTATGAACACTATGGGGGAAATTGGACCATTTGACGTTGGGCTGATGTTTGTCAGAAGCTCGATCAAAATATCATCCAGCAGTCTATGGTCCATTTGGGGACGAGCATGGGAGCTCGAATTTTCCCGCAGAATCCAGGGGACTCACAAAAATGTCCCATGTCCTCTTAACTAGGCTGTTCAAAGGTGATTTTTAATCCTTTGGATGGATAAGGATTGGTCAACTCATTTTAAGAGCCCAGCGTAAGGGAATGCAGTAGTTTCCACGGCGATGAAGATATCCAGGACCCTCAGAGTCTCAGCCAAAATCAGCACGCAAACTCATTTGGGCTCGTTTTAAGGGGACCCTTTTTGGGGTGGTAAAGGGAAAACAAAAGGAACCGCCGAACATCGTGTTGGGGGTTTAAGGCAGCTCCTCATGTTTGTCGGAGAATCTGCGCAGAGTGGCGATTTAGACAGGTTGGTCTTTTTCGTCACCCCGACAAGGGGGCTGCTTTCTGGTGATTGCCACAAGGAAATTTGGTTGTTCCAAGTCCGGTCCACGGCCAAAACACAATGCCGGAGGCCATGGGCCGAATGCACACGAAGAAATGGATGATTTGACACGCCAGGATCCTGAGTGCGCCAATCGGCGCCCCCCCGTTTGGCCGCCCAAAGCGCCCGATTTTTCTCCTTTGGCGAGCGAAATCGGCTTTCGGCTTGGCCGAGGGGTGGAGAACGCTTAGCTCGCTGCGGGTGGGAACAGGGGTTGGAAATATGGAGTCGGTGCGATTGGGAAAGTTCAGTTAGAACCTGCCGAAGCCCGAATGCGACGGTGTGACCCCGCCGAAAGGTGGACATGTCATGTTTGTTTCGTTTCCTCGCTTGACGCAAACATGGCCGTGGCCCTTGGAGAGTGGCCCTTCAAAGAGTTCATTTGGATGGAAGCCAGAGGGGCGTCACATATTTGTGAGGTTCCATCTCCTGTTCATTGGAGAAAGTTATAGCATGTTGGACCTGTTCTTGAAGCAGCCTCCTTTGTTTGTTTTCCTTGACGGGCACGCTGGAGATCCAGTCACTCCGCAACAGAGAAGCTACCCAGAAATTCATTTGGAGGACACCCCATGGAATGTCGACATGGATTCATCAACCTGTTGAATTCGCAAACCGGATTTGGGCTTCGAGGGGCACTGGACGGGCGGCGGCGCCGCGGTTTACGTGGCGCCCCCCTACGCGTAATCCGCGGAATCCGAAAGCAGTCGGCGGGCCATGTGCGTGTGGATCACAATCTCACTTCCTCAGTTCATGAACTTTAAACTTTTTTGGGAAGGCCATTTTAGTGGTAAATAGAACTTTTTTTGGGCCGTCCACTCAGCAAGTGAGCAATGGCTTTTCCCCCTCAGTCAGGGTTCTCTTTTGTGGCAAAGTGACCCTTTTGCGGCGCCATCATTGTGCGGCCATGTGTGGAAGGAGCCAGGAATACAATCTGTTTGAAACGGGGAGCCCCAATTAGCACCAACATCAGTGAGCATCATTCTTCCAAGCTCACCTCCGTGGCCCCTATGAGACAACCCAAGATTTCTCTGTTGGTCATCGGTTTACGAACCCCAAGAGGGATTTCTGACATATAGCGCAAGCCTAACTTTTAGCAAGGGATCAACGAGACATTGAGGGTTGTTTGCTTGGGCCACGCAAAGCCAATGCCACCTGTTCATTTTGAAGAAATTCTAGCCGGGGGGGGAGGATCCATATCAATTTATAGGAATCTGTGCAGCTGTCTCAACCATTGGTTCCCATTCACATCCACTCAGCGCTACCATCCGATTGCACCTCTGCCCAGTGAACACTGGCCCCGCTCTTTTGTTCCGCCGGCCGAAAAGCGACAGATCCCGGGCTGAAGAAAAGGAGAACACGGTTTCATAGTGTGGATGGACGAAATCCTCCACAGTAGCCCCCACACAAAAGGTCGGTTTAGAGGTCCCTTTGGTTTCACTTTGGTTCTCCAAGCACCCGAACATTTTGGGGCTGGATTTGGTCATGTTCGCAGTAGTGCCTAGAATATTTTACCGGTTTGACAGACTTGGGCCTGCATTGCGATTGGTGAGAAAAGAAAAGCTGGGGAACGCTTTCGGCCGGAGCGGAGACACGTGCGTGATAGGTTAAAGCTTTCCCATGAGCAAAATGGATGACCCAGTCCTTCCTTGTGCGCGCAATCGCAATCCGGTAAGTGAAGGTTGGTAATGGACATCTTAAATACCAGGTTTTGGACCCCCCCCCAAAAAACAACAGAGAGAGCAGCAAACAACGACCAGATGTACAGATCCAGGGTGCACATTGCCACAATTTGGGGTGGGGGGGCCCTGTGCTGGCTGACGCTTTTGACAGCTTCGACGCCCGGGTCGGAAGGTTTCGTTGGACACCAGATTTGGCCTGTGCAAAGGATGGGTCAGAGCTGCAAAGGACACCGTGGCGACCTCTATAAAATTATTTTCCAAAAGCTGGGCGCGGTCCGAAGTCGAGAACACGGGTGTGGCTGGATCCGCTATTTTGCCCTTGGCTTATGTATCCTCGGATGCCAACTGGCAGCGAGGTTGACTCACCCCCACTCGGGATTGCAGGTGTCTCAAGAGCCTATCCTGGGTTCCATCTTTTGAGCAAGCCCAAGATAGACTTCACCCAAACCACTTCAGATGCCTTTTGGGGGAATCTACAAATCCCGGTTTGCTCAAATGGCCACCTGTCCTGTTCAATGCTCCGCGACACGCAACCAGAGAGGGGCCGCGAAGCGAAAAGGCCACCGACCGTGCGCCCGATGTTGAGGCGCCCTTTGAGTTCACCAGAGAGAGTTGCATGCGGCGGGACGAAAACGCAGTCCGGCCAATGCAAGTTCGGGGAAGGTGCTGCATGGGGGTGTATGGTTCTAATCGCAACCAAATGGACAACCTGCATTTTAGTGGGTCCCTGCAGAAACGCATCCTTTTGCAAGGAATTGCAATTCTGGGAAATACATGGGACCCTTAAAAACGGTTAGGAACAAGTGCTTGATATCCACCAATGGTGCCCGCATGTCGAGACTTTGATGTTCCGCGACGCTTGCGCTTGCATCGGCGTCGGGACACGATGATTTGCGATGTGTCAAATGCACCTCTGGCCATTCCATGTTCGACCAACCAGAGGTACACTCCCTCAAGCAAACATGGAAGCTCCCAGAAGGCCTCTGTAAATGGAACCACTTCTTCCAAACAGGTCCTGGGAGCTTCCATGTTAGTCTGGAGGGTAGGACCTGAAGCGCGACGTCAAGAGGACAGGTGCCAGCGCGTGGTTTTGGCCTCATTGAGCTCGGCGCCGATTGCCACTTTGGGCTGCGGAGGCGGAGAAGGAAGCGAGCGCGCGCAGAGGGCGGCCCAAGAAGGCAACAGAAAGTGAAAGAGCGCACTTCGCTTTGAGAAGCGCAGGCGAGGAATTGTCGGAGTCAGTGGTTGGTCTGCCCAAGAAGCTCCGGCGGCGAGAGCGCGCGCGCGTTTTGCTCTTCTCTCGGAGGCCCAGGCTTCGGAGTGACTTGATTCATGGGTTCCTGGGCTCTGACTTGAAATTAAGTGGCTAGTGAGCCTGGTATAAAAACCAGCTTTCAGTGGCTTGAGCACAATGCCCGGTACTCACCCCCTTGAGCATGAAATTGGTAACTCTTGGAATATCAATGTTCCCCTGCCTTCAAGTAGGGCATGGCAGCCGCCCTCACCCTTGCCGGACCCCTCTGCGTGTGAAGCCATGAACCCCTTGTCCCAGCACCGTGTCGGACCTCGCGGACTCGCACTGCTCGCGCTCAACAACCGATCCCAGTGCAAACGCACGCGCTCGCGCGCCGGCAGGCAAACTCGGCGACGTGGGCGTCAGGGACTCGAGGCTTCGTCAAAGCGCCACACAAGCCAGGATGTCAGGAGTGAAGACAGACTGCCCGACAAGGTGGGGCTATCGTCACAACAGCTACACCGGCCGGATCACGTTAACTTCAGCAAGGCTTCAAACAACGGATCATTTCAGACAGACAGACGGTTCGAAGCAGTCCTTGCCATGGCGACCTGCAAACTTGTCAAGGAAAAGCCGCGGGGCGGTTCTAAGCAGGGCTGAAGCTGAAGAAATAAATTTCAAGTGCAACTGGTCCGCGCATGTTTGGGCGCCGGCTCAGTACAGCAGTCTGAGCAAGTTGCCGGCTGCCAGCTCGGAGTTTCCCGGGTCCCTCACGAAAAAGAAAGATTTGAGTCCAAGAGGACCTCATGACATCTGTTTCAGCGATTCCTTGCAACAGTTGCAGGTGCTGCGGATGTGGCGTTGAGCAGCGGGCGCTGGCCTTCACCAGACGGTCTCGGCGGCCTCGTCACCCCTAGGGTGCAGCTGTGCTGAAGCTTTTCGGCTATGGCCTGCACGCCGGTTGGCGGGCCTTCGGGCACAAGCGACGGTGGTGAACACAACAATAGCTAAATCGTATCAACTCAGGCCGTGTATCGGGAGTTCGGGTACGATAGGCGAAATTCTTGGCAGCAATGGTTTGCCAATCCCCAAAATTCCTATACCTGCCCTGAAGTTTGGTCGCGCGCGGCGCCCAAGTGGTCGTCAGCTGACACCCGCCAGCGAGCAATGTGTGACAGACAGTTCCAATTTGGCTGCAGCACGTCGGCTTGAGGCCTGCGAGACCCTTTTTACATCACCAGCTGCAAATTTCCAATTACCAAATCCATGTTGCCGGCACACATCCTAGAATAGATTGTCGGCCTTCGCAGCTTCGCGCCAATTCAGGATGCGTTCGGCCCAGCGCTCAGGGGGAGAGAAAAGAAACAGAGCGTTCGTAATGAAAGCATTGCCTTATTTGTCGCAAAAGATTTCCTTGCAAGGGCGCGTGCCCTTTTGATCGACAAGTACATTGTTTTTGTCCTTCAAAGAGTCCTAAGGCTGATCCCATGGGGTATTGCCAAGCGGGTCATCGGTTGCTCTCAACGTTCATTGCGCGCAAGGCCTGACAGTGGACTTTGACTTTGACGTTGGCCAACGTTGCAAAGCCAACTTTTGTAAGAATCCACGCATGCTTGTTGGCAGCATCGGCCCTCCAGACTTGCTTGTATTTGCAAAACGTCTGAAATTTAGTTGTCCAACTGTTTTTGGGGCGCCCGTCACACGCCTACCGGACCTCAGTTCGGGTTCGGCTGTGCCTCTCGCTGCAACCATGTTTTGTTTTCGCCCCCTACCCCCTTGCTGTTCCACCAACCTCCAGCTCAGTGGTCTTCTTCAGCGTTGCGCCTGACGGGGTTGAAATTCTTTGTCTCAACTATGATGCAGCCCGTGGGTGTCGTGCCACTGCGTCGTTGGAGGCCGTGTCCTCCAAGACTTGCCCTCGGACAGGCTGGTGTGCCCAGGAATGTCCTGGTCGTCGTTAGGGCCGCGGCGTGAATTGGAAACGTTGCCGGGGCCATCGCAACGCACTGCGGCCTTTGCTTTATCCTCGTTTGAGTCAGTCTCCGACACAAGGAGCACATAAAGAAGTCATGCCGTTGCCTTTGCCGAGCTGCCACCTCCACGTCCTGCCTGAAGTGCATTTTCCTCAAGTTGTCGTCCCACTATTTTAGCGGGCGGCCTGGTTTCCTTTTTGACGCTCTCAAGAAATTATCGCCGAAAGATCTTGGGGAGCTGATTGCACCGCACATGTTTGTGTTTATGAAATTTCGCCTAAGCACCTTGGATATGATGACGTAGCTCCACAGTACCGCGTTTGGACAGATTCCCGCACAACTTCTTTCCCAAATAATTGCGTGTGCAACTTTTCCACCATACCTCAACGAAGCTGCCTGCCA